CATGTTTTAGCTTGTTTTCTCTTCATCTTTGAATTCTACACCCTCTAAAGGCTAGAATCATTTCTTTCATATTGATGATTGTAGATTGTCACCATCACATGTTTCATGTGTTATATATGGTAAAAATGCATGATCAACCCGATGTTAAGATCAAAGATTAACTCACACATGCTCCTACAACATCAAAAATCGATTTTACACCTCCGTGTTCTTCAAAGTTTGTTTTCATATGGTTAAAACAAATTTTAGAACATCATGGGTGTGTTTTGACACCATGAATGTGTGAAAAATAAGGTTGCGTGTTCATGATCTTAGCACAAAATCGGATTTCAAGTTAAGGACATCAAACTCATTTTTAAGAGTTCTTGAGAACAAAGATTTTGTACTTGAATGCATGTGTTTATTTTATGTTTTAAAAAACCTAACTAGTACATGTATGCATCATGATATCTTTAAATTATTTTTAAATATTTTCTCAAAATTAATGCTTAAAGTTAATTTTCCAACCGACTAGCATACATGCAATATGCCAGATTTCTTTACCTGACTTTGAACTGCCACATCTCATTCAATTCTCGACCTAAACATGGGATTCTTTTTCTATGAAGTATTCATTTGAGTTAAGTTTCGAACCCAAGTGGTCCCACTATAAAACATTAAGATTTCGATTTTCAACAATTTTTACAAAATAGTTGCTCCATCAACACTTTTTCTGTGATCACTAGTTTTTCATTACATGATCAAAGGTCTTAAACCCCACAAAAAATATGGAGAAAATTAATTTAGAAACTTGATAAATTTATCTCAAATGACCTAAAATTTAATGAACTAAAACTTTATAGAATTTTCTACACAAATTGTTGATCTTTTAGCTACATTTGGAACTCATGCACCATATAGTGCTACATTCAAAACTTGATGCGTTTGAATACCCCATTTAGCTCTGAAATTATTATGAATCAATTTTCTTTATGGAATTTCATGTTTTAAAGGGATGTTCTGTAAAACCCCAAGTGCTAAACAAATTCCTTACTTCTATACAAATAATATTGATAATAATATAATGACCATAAATTCCAAATAATTATTTCAGAAGAGTTAAAAATCTGAAAAATTGAAGAGAAGATGTATGCACAAGATAAGGATTTTCCATAAATTTTTATGCAATTTGACTACTAGTTACTATTATATTCAGATTTTTGATAGATTTAGACCATGAATTCACAAAACTGGGTCTTAGGACTCAAAGGTACAAACCAATATTTTTTCCAGATTTGAAAACATTATTAGAACCTGTAAAAATTAATTTGTGAATTTTCGCAACTGCTATTTATTTCCAATATCCTATTATTTAGGCTTAAATTGAAAATAAATATCAAATGACCTTCAAAAATTACTATAAAATTTCTAGGCACTCATACCCTCTTTTAGAACCGTAAAATAGATGTTTATAATTTTTGGAGTTCATTTTCATGCCCTTGTGGATTTTTGAACTTAAGGCAACGTAAATTCAACATTTACTGATAATGAACCGAACAAACTTTGAGCACTTTGTAATACCACTAGCTGGCTAAGTAGTTACTGGATTATGGCTAGTGAACACTGACTTACTAGAAATTGATTGTTCCATAGGACTCTAATATGGATCGACCCTGGTGACCTCAAATCGCAACACACGAACTGTGAACCTTTTCTTTTGAGTATTCACGGCCTCCCTTTTATTGTTTTCATGTTTGGGGGTGGAAATCATGCTACTATTTTATGAGCTATCAATACTATTTTATGAGCTTGTGGAACTTTGTTTATTGAGCTTGTTGAACTCTATTTTGTGAACTTGTTGAACTTTGTTTTATGAACTTATTAAGCTATGTTTTATGAACTCATTGAACTTGGAATGATGTTGTTTATTATACTTTTGCTATGGAATTGGTGATATGAATTCTATGTTATGAACTTTTTATGGTAAGTCCCCAGAGAACCGATACAACCTATTAACTTGTATTCGAGCTGACGGTCTTATGGATAGCGTTATTTGGGGTAGACGGCCCCCACTCGCCGAGAACCATGAGTGCATATTTCTGTGAAATGACATAATGGGAACCATGGACATGATGGAATGAGGCAAGAAAGATCATTAGGCTTGGTTTTGAACGGATTTCTTTGGCATTCAACACTTATTTAGAGTTGGAACATTTGTTGAACAAATCTATATTTTCTTATTGAAACGGTGTACCTTTATAAACCTGTGAACTCACCAACTATTTTATAGTTGACCCTTGTTTTTGCATGTTTTTCAGGGAACGGTCAGTGATCTAAATTAGACGTCAGTATGAATTAACACTTGAAGTTTCTTTTGTTATGTTTTAGACTTTGTAGTTTGGAACTAAATGTATTTATTTTATGTGATGTAAACTTAAAAATGCTTAATAATTATGGTTGGTACTCCTATTTACCTTATGCTAAGAGACCTTAGATTGTCACCCTTTGTATTTCCGCTTTAACAGAGTGTGACAAGAAGCGTGTTCTTGCTTACTACATTATTGCCCCCGTCTTTCACTCTCTTTAGAACTACTCTCTAGAAATCTATACATTAGAAGCTCTCTGAAACCTATACATGAAAACTATACAAGTATATATAGGCAAGAACAGCCCAAAAACCCATATCACAAGGTGTAATCCAAAATACCATCTAATGGAGAGCATTGCACTCTAAAATTTCCCCCCTCAAAGCTTGGAATGGATGACCCGACTTCAATCTCAAAAAATGAGCAACAAAAGAACAAGACCTCAAGCGTGACAAATGTAGAAGCAACTGAAAAATCTTCCAATCTTCAATGGTCTTCTTACCCGGGTTTTAGAATGTGATAACATTCATTCCAAAGCATCAAAAGGTAATTCGTTAATCCTTGGGTATCCAAAACTCCAAGGATAACTAGCAAAGTTTCAGCGAGAAGACACATTCCAAAAATCTTCATTATGTCCAAGCCCTTCATAAAATCTTAAAACCCAAAATACTTCATAATTCCAACTCGAAATGCTTCATAAACAATTTTTCTTTAATGTCACATTGATCTCCACTCATAAAATGATCATTCGCCAAAAAATGAATATCCCAAAACTTGCAATTTTTAATACCCATTTCATAACCTCTCCCCCTTCTTATAATCGAAATATGATTATAATACTCCAAATGGGAAGGATAAAATGCTCAATGTGGATTTTTCATTTCAATCCTCCCCCTCAGGATGAGACAAAAATGAAACACCGAAGCCGGAAAAATCTAAAAAATATGTCAATTTTTCGAAACTCGACTTCCCCGACCATTTTTCTCCTAAAAAATGAACACAAATATTCATGTTGCTCGAAAATATCTTGCAGCCATAAAAATCTTGAAAAAGCCGAGAAATAATCTTCAAAAGTTGTGAAGATTTCGATTTCTAGGTAAGAATTGCTATTATTCTGAAACTACTGGGACCAAATCTGTATAACTGCCCACTCCTTCCTAATTTCAGTTTTAGTTGCAAAATATTGTGAATCTGAGTGAAAATTGTCCATTCGTTGAAAGTACAGGGAATAGAAATAAAAATTTATTTCTTCTTCCCCAAATCTACTCATATGTAAAAGAACACACGAACTAACATAACAATAGTCAAAACGTTAACTTTCGACAAAAAAATCCAACTTTCGACTCAAATTCGTCATCACTTTCAACTCAAGACCTTTGAACTTCAATTCCCCATCCTTTGTGTTCAACTTTCGACTATTCTCAACCTAACCTTAACATTCACATATTCACAGTCGAGACATAGCTTTCAACTATCAATGTCAAATCTTCAATTTCAACTCTAACAATCAACTTAACCATCGAAAGTCAAGATTTAAACTTATTTTTTCTCTTCTTCCCAATCCACAGTTGGAAACCATACATCAACCTTCATAAATGAAACTTCAACATTTTCTCTAAGCCTCAAACTTTCATTATACAACCTTTGTATAAAACTTTCCTTTGATAAACCCAGCTTCAACCTAAATTACTAGCCCATCACAGAAACTATGTAACTTCATCACAGTGAGATTTCGTCTGCTTCATCATCTAAAAGTTGAGACTGGAATCAACTTTCATTCCGATACCAATATTGACAATTTTAAACTTTCGATTCTTCTTTAATAAAACGTGTGTATATTATAAAGAGTAGAATGAGTCTTTAGAATTAGTCTATGTTGTTGTCCTGGTAATATGGATTGTATTCACGTACCTGATTTTCTAGTTAGATTTACTCTTTACTTTTGTATTTATACTTGTACATGTTGACAGATATCAATATACAAAGAATTCACTATTCTCTCAATTTGATTTATGGTATCAGAGCTCTGATCCAAAAACCCTATTTCTTTCAAGATGATGACTCCACCTACCACTTAACAACTCTAAGCTCCAGCCTCCATTGCTTCAACCAACCTAAATTTTCAGATGCCTTCTCTTAGCATCAAATTGGGTCGTACAAATTACCCTCTATGGAAAACTACCATTATTTTTGCACTGGAATGCTTTGAGCTCGGATCTTTCATTCTTTCTCCTTCTCCACCAACTGAAACGATTCTAGCCCCAACAACTGATGGCAAAAGACCTGCATCAGCCGTTGCTTCTACTCCCAATCCGGAGTATACCACCTGGAAGAGAAAGGACCGATTTTTCCTTCTTAATCGACACTTAAAGAGCGTTCCCTTGCCTCTGTTGCTCGCTCTACCTCTTCCAATCAAGCCTAGGTCACACTTGAGGGAACCTTTCATGCTTAGACTAGGGATCAACGAATGCAATTAAACACAAAATTGCAAGCACTTACCAAAGGAGCCTCTTCAATGATCGATTATCTTGACCAAAAATGCCAAATTGTAAATTCACTTGCTGAGAACCTCACCCCTGTGTCAGACGATGACTTAATTGGCTACATTCTTAATGGATTGGACTCCTCCTACAACTCCTTTGCATCGTATTTCTCATGCATTTTGAATCCACAACTGTTAATGAATTAATTGGTCTTCTCTTACAAGAAGAAGCACGCCAAGAGGCCGATCTTGCACCCCAAGTTGTTACCCTAATCACCACTAACCCATCGGTTACTCCTTCAACCCCCTTTCCAGTTGCAAATCAAGTATCTTGCAACAGTTAACCCTATCGTCCTTCTTATGGGTCATCCTCCAACTCTCGTCCTCACAACAATCGACGACGTCGTCTTCATTGTCAACTATGCAATAAGCTGGGACACGAAGGTATCAACTATTGGCAAAGGGAAAACCAGACTGAATATCCATCTCGCAGGCTTGTTCCTCGTGACTCACAGCGCCAGGCTGGACCAACATCACCAAGACTATTTTCCATTCTGGACCCAAACTGTTACTTTGAAACAGGTGCTACTGATCACGTGACACCTGATATCAGAAAACTATACCTACAGGAACCCTATACGGGTGAAGACAAACTTCAAGTCGGGAAGGTACAAACCTTCTAATCTCTAACTTTGGTTCATCTTCACTTTCTTCTTTGCATTTACCAAAGGTTTTTCTTATCCCGTGACTAAATAAAAACCTTATCAATGTCTCTCAACTTACTCTTGATAACAATGTGTATATGGAATTCTAACCTCACCATTGTGTTGTTAAGACATTTCAGGGCAAGCCACTCATCCACGACCACTTTGACAATGGACTGTATCGCTTGTCTCCTCCCTCTAATAAAATGTCTTCAACAATGGCCCTCTCAGGTGTGCACACCTCCTAAACTGGATAGCATAATCGTCTCGCACATCCACATGAGGCCATCCTCAGACGCCTAGTTTCTACATTTCAACTTCCGACTCAAACAAATAATTTACCTCAAATCTGTAAACCATGCCAATTAGACAAAAGTAACAAACTTCCCTATTCTTCTTCACATATTACATTTGAGTTAATGTATTTTGATGTTTGGGGGCCCTCCACTCTTTTTTCAATAAATGACAGTCGATATTTCATTATTCTTGTTGATGATTTTACTAAGTTTGTCAGGATATATTTCCTTTATGCAAAATTACAGGTGGTTCAAATTGTCGTCAACTTCAAAGCATGATCAAAACTCAACTTTGGTTGTGACATTAGGAATTTTCAATCCAACTAGGGTGGTGAATACCATCGTGTATCCACCTATCTTCAATTGTGTGGTATTCACCATCGTATCACTTGCCCTCATACATCTGAACAAACCAAGCAGTGTGTGATATCACCAAAATCACGGTCAGAAAAGACCGGTTTCATTTATGCTTTTAGAATACTTTCAGAGTAAATCCTTTTGATTTAAAAGAGTTGCGGAATTTGTTCCCAAAAACAAAACGTGATAAAATAATATTTACCAAAGCAATTCATAAAGAAATGTATTTTCATTATATAATCAAAACTTGGGATGTCATGTTCCAATACAGACCATAAAGCATAAACGATAACATTAAAAGTCATTCAACAAATATATACATATACAAACTTGTAAACAAAACAACTTGATGATTCACCCATCTAATGCCCTTGCGCCACTTCCTGTAATACAAATAAACTGAGTGGGTCAGGCTTTGGAGCCTGGTGAGCATATAGGGTTTTCAACCCACAATAAATAATTAAATTAATTTTCATCAACCAAAAATAACCCAATTACTCATTCTCGTTATTCTCACTTTACGTCCCTAAAATAACTAACACAAGGGACCTAGTCTAAGAATATTTCATTGGGGTGACAATACATGCTTCGGGGGTTTCCCATCAATATATGTCAAATAAGGCAACCATGAGCGGGATGGAGTACAGAGAATGAACACCCAAGTTCATTAACACCTACAGGTGGCGAGCCTGCTAGCGTTCCACAGGACTGTCTAGAAAAGTCTGTGGTCATCATCTAAACTCCGCTAGATGACTGAATCAAAAACAACATTGAGGCCTTTCATCTGTTTATCATACATCAACTATCTACCCATGTCTACCCAACATATTAGTATATATATATATATATATATATATATATATATATATATATATATATATATATATAGTTTAAAACATGTATAGCATTATCATTCAATACATATTCCAAACAACAGATGAGACACATACACATAACATGTATTTCATAGAGAATAAATCATATCTATGAGATTAAAGAAAGTGAATATACATTCACACATATAACAACAAATTATACACATAACACGTATTTCGTATAAAATACTTCATAATTATGCATTAGAAGAAAGTAACTACACACTCACTTGATCAGAAGATGATCGGACAGCACTACGACCTGTAGAAGTAGTATTCTTCGGTAGATCTGGAAGATCTTCACAAAAACCGGGCTCCTCGCGAGCAGAGCTTCGGCTCGGAAACTCTTTTCTTCTCGGGATCTTCAGGCTTCGGGACTCGCTTCGGGTCTCAGGATGATACCGGGGCTTCGGGGGTACTTCTTTCATATAAATCAAGGTAAAACGGGAGAGAGATGAGAGAAAATAGCAACCCTAAACGACTGGCCCTTCAAATCTATTTATAGGGCAAAATTTGCCCTTGCCACGTTGTGGCACTTTTTTCCACGTCGTGGGCTTGGTCATCACTGCATGCGTCATCGTAAGTTGCATTTGGGGGACTCCAGGAGGTGTCAGAAGACTTGCCACGTCGTGGCACTACTTGCCACATCGTGGTATCTGACAGTTTTGGGGTTTCGCGCCCCGAACTTTAGAAATTCATAACTTTCGCATACGAACTTTGTTTTCGACGTTCTTATATCGACGCGTAGGTGAGATTATGATCTACAACTCTCTTTTAGACTCCATTGGCTAATATTGAGTTCATTTTTTAATATATTATAAATATATTACTTATATATTATTTTTAGTAGACCGGGACAGGAAAACTCCGTTATAAATTCATAACTTCTTCATCCGACGTCCGTTTTCACCTATCTTTTTATCGTTTCACTACTATTAACGAGATCTTCTATTATCGTTTAGATTTTTCGGCTAAAAACCGCTCGATCTCAAATCAAGTATTCGGGCTGCATACTGCTAAGTCGAAACTTCAGAAAATCATAACTTCCTAATACGAAGTCAGATTTGGGCGTTGTTTTTATACACGCTCTCGGTTTAACGAACTCTTAAACTTTCATTTAGATTATAAGACTAGATATCATTCTATCTTAAATTTGTATTTTACGTCATTCGGCGTCGTACCGGTTCTATCGCGAAACTTCGACAAATCATAACTTCTTCGTTATAACTCGTATTTCGGCATTCTTTATATATTCGGAAACCTCATTTCAACTACTACAACATTATCCAAAGATATAGGCTTTATCTACTATTTTATTTTGATACTTATTTTTTATTCTTAATTCATTTAAGCCACACAACTACGCACAAAACATATAATACTCAAATAATATATTCTTATTATTTCAAAATGGGTTACAAAGGTTAATGTAGACTAATACATTGCTATTAATGACAAACCCAGAAACACAGGCGTTACAATTCTCTCCACCTTAGAATGATTCTGTCCCCGGAATCACACATCAACAAACAACTGCAGGTAGCGACTCATCATGTCACTCTCCGTTTCCCAGGTGAGATTCGGCCCATTTGTGTGTTTCCATCGGATAAGCGCTAACTCGACCATCTTGCGTCTCAATTTCTTAGTCTTTCGGTCAACGATTGCTTCAAGTTCTTCAATCAACCTCTTGTTCTCATCAATTCTTATCTCATAAATTGGAATTATATCAGGAACTTCTTCCGTGAACTTCCTCAAATAACACACATGAAAAGTGTTGTGAATTCCATTCAGTTCTTCGGGTAATCCGAGCTTGTAAGCTTGGTTTCCAATTCTCTAAAGAACTTTAAACGGTCCAATAAACCTTAGACTTAATTTTCCGCTTTTACCAAATCTTATAAGTCCCTTCTACGGCGAGACTTTAAGCAAAACCGAATCTCCAACTTCAAAAGTCATTGGTCTTCGCTTTTTGTCAGCATAGCTCTTTTGACGATCCTGAGCGGCTAACATTCTTTCCCTAATTATTTTCAACTTTTCAGCGGTTTGATGAACCATCTCGGGTCCCATAAACTACTTTTCCCCATCCTCAAGCCAACAAGACGGTGTATGACACTTCTATCCGTACAAAGCTTGAAAGGTGCCATCTTTATGCTCGAGTGGAAACTATTATTGTAGGAAAATTCTACCAAAGGTAAATGTTCATCCCAGTTACCTAGGAATTCTAGAGTACATGCTCTCAGCATATCTTCAAGTGTTTGTATTGTTTTTTCGTTCTGACCATCAATCTGTGAATGGTAAGTTGTACTTAAACACAACTTGGTACCCATTTCCTCTTGTAGACTTTTCCAAAACCTTGAGGTGAAACGGCTATCACGATCTGATACAATCGTTAACGGAACACCGTGAAGCCTTACAATTTCCTTCACATAAGAATTCACACGATTTTCCATAGACCATTTCTCATTGGCTGCTATGAAATGCGCACTCTTAGTGAATCGATCAACAACCACCCAAATCATGTCGTGACCATTCTTTGTTCTGGGTAGTTTAGTGATAAAATCCATAACAATGTCTTCCTATTTACCCATAGGTACAGGAAAAGGCTCTAAACTCCCATATGGTTTCTGATGTTGTGTCTTGACTCTAGCACAAGTCACACACTCGGCCACATACTTTGCAACACCAAGCTTCATCGTTGGCCACCAGTAGTAGGGTTTCAAGTCCCTATACAATTTAGTGCTACCAGGTTGAATCGAGTACATGGTCTTGTGAGCTTCTTCCATCAGAAGATCTCTAATTCCTCGGGACTTAGGTACCCGAATCTGATCTTGGAACACCTTTAGTCCATGACCGTTTGTATCAAACACCAACGTTTTGCCTAAACGTTCCCCCTTTCGGTCATTCTTCTCAGAAGCTTCTTCTTGAGCTTTCTTTATACTCTCCATAATTGTCGAGACAACTTCTATTTTCAACGCTCTTGGCCTCTTCCTTTCAAGATTGACTTTCCGACTGAGAGCATCATTAACAACATTAGCTTTACCAGGGTGGTAAAGTATCTCACAGTCGTAGTCCTTAAGTAACTCTAGCCAGCGTCATTGCCTCATATTCAATTCTTTCTGATTAAAGAGATATTGGAGACTCTTATGATTAGTGAAAAGTTTGCACTTCGTGCCATAGAGGTAATGCCTCCATATTTTCAGAGCGAAAACTATGGTTGCCAACTCCAAATCGTGAGTAGGGTAGTTCTTTTAATGCTCCTTCAACTGACGAGACGCATATGCTATCACCTTTTCTCTTTGGATCAAAACACAACCCAATCTAACCCCAGACGCATCGTTATAAACAGCGAAGTCTTCAACTCCATCGGTAGAGAAAGTATCGGTGCCTTGCATAGCTTCTTCTTTAGCTTCTCGAATGCTTCTTTTTGCTCATCACTCCAAGCATAAGTAGCTCCTTTGTGGGTCAAAGTTGTTAATGGAGTAGCAATCGAAGAAAAGCCTTGGATAAACCTTCGGTAATATCCGGCTAATCCTAAAAAGCTTCGGATATCCGTGGGACTTTTCGGTTGTTCCTACTTCATCACAGCTTCAATCTTTGTTGGATCAACCATTATCCCTTCTTGGTTGACCATGTGACCCAAGAATTGGACTTCACGAATCCAAAAATCACATTTGGAGAACTTTGCATACAGCTTCTCCTTCTTCAAGACTTCTAACACTTCTCGCAAGTGTCTGCCATGCTCTTCTTGGCTTTTCGAGTAAATCAGAATGTCATCTATGAACACTATCACAGATTTATCAAGGAACGGATTACAAACCCTATTCATTAAATCCATGAATGTTGCTGGAGTATTGGTTAGTCCAAACGACATAACCAAGAACTTGTAGTGTCCATATCTAGTTCTGAATGCATTCTTCTCGATATCCTACTCTCTCACTTTTAGCTGAT